GGAAAAGTTAGTAGTAATGGTTTATTTTAGATCAAAAAAAAAATCTCGTTGTCTTTAACCAGACGATCGAGATCAAATTTTAAAACTTGAACTATTTCAACCTTCCCATGCTTTCATCTTATTAAACTTTCATATGCGATTATTTTTAAGCCGGCGGTAGCTACATTATAGATCGAATTGTCTAGAAAAAGAAACTTACAAAGTAAATAAGACTTCAATGTCGATTGCAACAATGTATGACACAATAAATGGTAAAAGATAATGAGGAGCCTGCTTCTTGATGCCAGCGATTACTTGATAATGAACAAGTGTGCCGATTCCAAGGTACAAGAAAAGAAAGGCTAAAGAAAACAGGACTAGAATACTCAAAAATCGAGTAGTCATGTAAATCAAATGGATATCAAAGCACAGAAATGTTAGAACTGGATAAGTTATACGGAAAAAAAAGAAAAAAATAACAAAACAGAAACTAACAAAATACACAGTGCTTGAAAAACAAACTATCTAGATTTTGTATTTTGCTAACACCAACTTCTAATGGCAATAGCAGTGAAATTGTACTCTGAGCGCAACTGAATATTTTCAGCATTCCATGGAATCCCTATGGATATCCATTAAAAATAAAAAAAATTAGAAACAAATAAGATACCCAGTGCCATGACATCGATTCCTGTCTTGTGATTGTACCAATCAAATTCGAAGAATGCTGATATAAAAATAAGAATAACAGACGACATACCAAATCCAGCAACAGCCTGAAACAGATATGTTCAATGTCAACTGACACACTATTATCTATTGAGAAATTATCACACACTCCATCCAACTACACTATTTCGTTGAAACTTAAAAAGCTTACCACAGCAGCTCTCTGAGCATGACAAAGTTTAAAGAATATAAATCTTGGATCATTATCATCGAACTGTGCGATATAAATGGTTGATGGCCGTGGACGGTCGTCCAAAACGTCACCTAGAATATAGGATGAGATACAGAAAGGAATCAAAAGTTTGCACCCAATTCAGATTAAAACGAAAAAGAGCAAGTACGAATCAGATTAAAACGAGTACGAGAAGCGCTTTGTGAACAGATCGTGAATAAATTTTAATGACAGTAGAAATCTGACAATAGTTCACTTAAATGACATGACAATTAGCTAAATACATGCCAAAAAAATCTGTCGACGGTGAAGAACGCTATCTTAAATGTAATTTTATACTAAAAGAAAAATCAAATTACACATAACACTTACCAGGTACACCAAATCGGGAGTAAGTAACTGAGCACTCATTCCTTTTCCCAGTGAACCATTTCCAAAACCTGCTCATTCTCTTATCACGTGAACACGGTTACCACCTGAAAAACGGTTCTAAAACTCGTGTGGTCATCACATACACTGAAAAATCCACACAACGTGAAAGTGAAGCTAACCCAGATCATACCACTAGCCATTAAACAAATACTGATGGAGGTTTTCCTTTTTCATGAAATAAATTATGCTATATTAGCATTCTTGTCGGAATCCCACATTCATTTCATCGTGCAAACCAAGCAGTGATTTTCTTAAATGTATATTAGAACGTAGAGTATATATCCTTGCGTGAAATATGTAGTTGTTCTGTGGTCACAGTGAAAAAAAACAAAAATTGTAAATCAGTAGAAACAACCGTAAAGCAAGAGCAACCATGAACCGTAAAAAAACAAAACAAAAAAAAAAAACACTAAAAACTTGGCGCTATTTAGTCCGCAATTAGGGATATCGGAGAATGTCACATTATTTTGGTTGAGATGTTTGTTCAACTTAGATATGATTACTACACAATATAATAATGCAGTTGGGAGCCATTCTGGTTCCATTACTGTAGCTTCGCATTTTCGTAGCACACCAAACGGTGTCAGCTCGCGGAGATAGATACAACATATCGGCGCAGTTAGTCAACCGTGCTATCCTGTCGCACATTCCACCCGCACACAAATGCATATAACCACTATCGATCGTTAATCAGTCGGTTTGTCATCCATCCTACTCTCTGCTCCCGATAGACACTTGATTCGTTACCTTTCGTGTCTGTCGGGTTTTGTGTAGTCTTTGCTCTTTCTTTGTTTGTGTGACGTCTAGCTTCATTATGTTTCGTCATCTCTAATCGATACACTCAGTGTTGCTCGAATTTAACGTTAATGTGTTGCCGATGTTGGCAATTGTTACGTGCCGTGGGCAGTATTATGCTGCATCATCTTAAGGTGCTCCGCGATACCTCAGGGGAATCACTTGGGATACAGCACAGGTAGTCCCGGTTCGCGTGAATTCTGTTAGTACCTTTGATAAGCGTGACACTGCAAGCGGTCATGCATTTGTGGACAGTTTGACATCGACGTGAAGTTGGATGCTTCCTTTTCCACATATTTCCCCACAGTAAATGTTTACGTTCATTAAATTTCTGTGTGAGTGCGATCATTCCTTTTCTTCAGTCTTTGAGGTCACAGAGTTCATCTCATTATTATATTAATCGGTCCGTAGTCGGTCGTTATTTAAATTGGCAAGCTCACCTAATCATATCGTCATATACTAGGGCACTCATTCAGTAGGTGCTAACAATTATGACTGCGTTTGTTCGATGATTCTTGTCATGCGGTTACTGTAACTGATGTTGTAATCAAACAAGTTATATTATTACTTGAAGTTATACTGTAAGCATTGATGGTTTCTTCAGTTTAAACGGAAGTCATCATTAAAGTTAGACCTAATTAAGCTTACCAGACGATTTTGTCAAGTATTACCATTCTGCTATGGTTTTTTTTTGGCTGTTTTCCGATACCATCATTTTCGAAGGTAGCTGTTGATGGCAATGCCTTAGCAATTAGAATGATGATACAATAGAGTTAGTGTATATTGCTGATACTCCCCCCACTTTGTTAATGTAATTATTTATAAGCCACCAAATTTATAACCACTTTAGTTCCCTTTTTATTCTTTTACATTTCTAATTTGCTATGGATTTGTAAGGTGACAGAGTTAGATGGATAGAGATAATTAAAAGAATTTTAGGTTTGATGATTAATTCAGCTGTTTCTTTCTTTACATGTTTTGGTAAGTGCCTGTTAGCTTAGGTTCTAAGATCTATTGGTGATGTTAGAGTATGTACGGTGTGCGATGCAGCGCGACAACACACATAAAATTGTCATCAACAAATTTCGAAATAGCAGTACCACTTATATGTTCCGTTTTTACCAGACAGTTGACGCGAATGAGTGAGTCCTGCCATGGATTTCAGCGATGAATTTAACGTCAATTCTGTGATGGCAACAACGTGTACTGTAATCCACAGTATACTGTAACAAGTTTTTACACATTTAGAATGCAATGAACAGTTCAATTAGTTTCAATTGCGGTAGATATACCTTTGGAGTCAGCGACCGGGATTGATTTTGAAAGCTTTTATTAATTTATTGTAGAGAATGAGTTCCAGAAAAAAATCATGTGGTTTTTTTGAGAAACGTAGTGGTATCAGCAATGAAATTAGATTATCTTTTGAATTATTACTTCACTGAACTCTACTATTTTAGAACAACACCAAAATTCTTAAGATGTTTGAAGGACAAGGTAATGGCGAGGTTTCTTCTTAGTTTCAGCTTAATATCAGTTATGTTCCATAGGAATTTAACTGTACAGAAAGTGTTTAATGTGCGTTAGCTTGCTTTCTGTTTGCATTACCATTAGGACTGATGTTCCAGATTACATAGGACATACTCCCTGCAAAATTTATTCGCATATGAAGTTCAGTTTAATGCATCGTATAACGTACATGCGTAGAAGGGAATGGGGTTCATATGATCAGTTTGTCGTATTTGTCGTCTTATGAGAGTAGTAAATAAGAGGAAGAGTCAGTTGTCGAGATGGTCATCATAGATTGAAGGCTGGAAGAAAGAGCTAAATAATATCGCAATGACGTTTGTTGCTATAATGTTGTATTTTGTTTCAGTTCGCTTCGTTCTACCTCTCATTTCATATATTTTGATTTGTATTGGATAACGTCTTTATAGCAGCTAGTCCTGTTGTTGATTTGGTATTTGATTTGGCTCTGTGGAAAGGAGCACAGCTTCCTGGATCTGCACATTGACCGCAGTGTGCATTTTGTTTTACTAACATTCATTGGATGCTTTCTGACATGTAAGTACTTTCTGTTAGAAATGAGAATATGTTCATTGGCGTATTTGTTCATTTCTTTCTCTGTGCAGTCTTCGGTTCTTGATATCGTACTTGCAGTATTACCCTTGTTATGACAGTGAAGTTTGACAAATAGCAGTTTTTACTAAATATCTCATATTGAATCAAATAATTTTATCCATTCGTCCACATTTCAGCCATAGCAATAAAAGGAATGCATCCAATGTCATCAGGAGTCATACATCCAGTGTCATCGGGAATCATCCATCCAATGTCATCAGGAGTCATGCATCCAGTGTTATCGGGAATCATGCATCCAATGTTGTCGGGAATCATGCATCCAGTGTCAGCAGGAATCCTGCACCCAATGTCATCAGGAATAATGCAACCAATGT